CTTCCCAGACCAGGGCTCGAACCCGTATCCCCTGCATTGGCAGGCAGATTCTCAACCACTGTGCCACCAGGGAAGCCCTTCATTGCTCTTTAAATAAATGTGGGATAAGGTATTCCTCCCCCACCACACTCCCAGTTCAGGGTGCTCTAGTTTTCACCATGAGGCTGTCAGCAAGTTTTAAAATTTTATTTATCTTTTATAATCAAATCATAGTCTGTTCAGTCAGACATTTGTAGCAAGGACATGAGCTGGTCACAATATTGGGCACTGTGGCAGGAACAAAGAGAAAACGTGCATAGCATCTGCTTGATGGAGCCCAGTTAGGGAGGCAAGTATGTTGCAAGGCCTGTGAGTGCGCTGAGGGCAATGATCAATTACAGCCTTGCTACTTAGTGTGGTCCCCACTGCCCCACAGCATTAACATCATCTGGGAGTCTGTTAGAAATGCAGAACCTCAATCCAGCTCCAGACCTGAATCAGAATCTTCATTTTAACAAGACTGCTAGCAGGTGATACTTATGCACACAGGAGATTTGTCCAGGAGACAGAAATCACTTCCCAGCAGAGTGTCCAAAGATGGCATCAATTCAACCATCATCACCAGAACAGGGCCCTGTGCTGGGGGCCTAGAGAAGAAATAAATGTGTCCTTGCCCTCTAGGAGGCTAAGAGGGAAACAAACATACAACCACAGGAGTGGTGCAAAGGTAGGGGAGTAGCAGAGTCTGCTTTACAGAGGTGGTGGCTCTGAGATGCTCAACTGCTAATGCTAGTAGAGGCATCATTTGTTCTAAGAAAACTCTTTATAGTGCATGCAGAGTTGATCCAGTGCAACACAGTTCGATTTCCTGTAGGTTCCAAGTAACATAAGAGCTGGGATCACCTTTGAGCTGGGGTTCACACAGCTCTTTGTTCAGTGGCACAGTGCCTCTCTGAGCCTCAATTTTCTCAACTGCAAAATAGGACAATTTGTACCACATAGGAGTTATCAGGGTTATCCATGCTTTTATTGGAGCCACAAAGCCACCTTGTGAGAGAGGATGGCAAATAAGGATTAACATGAAAACTTACTGAATGGAAAAAAAGAATGCTGCTGGACAGTATGTGCACTGTGAAATCAGGTTTAGAAAAAAAAGCCCCATACATATTATATGTTTTTTGTTTGTTTGTTTGTTTGTTTGCTTGCGGTACACGGGCCTCTCACTGTTGTGGCCTCTCCCGTTGCGGAGCACAGGCTCCAGACACGCAGGCTCAGCGGCCATAGCTCACGGGCCCAGCCACTCCGCGGCATGTGGGATCTTCCCAGACCGGGACATGAACTCATGTCCCCTGCATCGGCAGGCGGACTCAACCACTGCGCCACCAGAGAAGCCCTATATGAACTATTTTTTAACGTGTACTATATATGAAACTATACATAGAGAAGAAGACCTGTAAGAACAATGACTTTCCTGGAGGGCAGAAGTAGGCCTTTATATATTTCAACAGCAGTTTATTTTCAAACAAATGTATACTTCTTAAACGAAAACATTTTACAAGTATTTAAGTGCATTGGGAATTGGAAGTAATGTTAATCCTGATTATCTGAGCAGGGTGATTATGGATGACATGTTCTTCTAATTATACTTTCTAAATTTCCTACAATGAGCCTGTATCCATCTGGGCCATTTGATTTGTCAGAAGCCCTAATTAGGGGACCTTCAAGATGGCTGAGGAGTAAGACATGGAGATCACCTTCCTCCCCACAAATACATCAAAAATACATCTACACATGGAACAACTCCCACAGAACACCTACTGAACGCTGGCAGAAGACCTCAGTCTTCCCAAAATGCAAGAAACTCCCCAAGTACCTGGGTAGGCAAAAGAAAAAAGAAGAAACAGAGACAAAAGATTAGGGACAGGACCTGCACCACTGGGAGGGAGCTGTGAAGGAGGAAAAGTTTCCACATACTAGGAAGCCCCTTCACTGGGGGAGACAGTGGGTGGCCGTGGGGAAGCTTCGGAGCCACAGAGGAGAGCACAACAACAGGGGTGCAGAGGGCAAAGCAGAGAGATTTCCGCACAGGTGCCGACCGGCCCTCACCAGCCTGAGATGCTTGTCTGCTCACCCACCAGGGTGGGTGGGGGCTGGGAGCTGAGACTCGGGCTTCGGAGGTCAGATCCCAGGGAGAGGACTGGGGTTGGCTGCGTGAACACAGCCTGAAGAGGGCTAGTGTGCCACAGCTAGCCGGGAGTGGGTCTGGGAAAAAGTCTGGACTTGCCTAAGAGGCAAGAGACCATTGTTTCAGGGTGCACTAGGAGAGGGGATTCCTTCCCTGTCTGCCCACAGAAGGCAGAGTACTGCCTAAATGAGCTCCAGAGACAGGTACGAGCCGTGGCTATCAGCTTGGACCCCAGAGATGGGAGTGAAACGCTAACTCTGCTGCTGCAGCCACCAAGAATCCTGTGTGCAATCACAGGTCACTATCCTCGCACCACTGGGAGCCTGTGCAGCTCGCCACTGCCAGGGTCCTGTGATCCAGGGACAAGTTCCCCAGAGGGAACACCCAGTGAGCCTCAGGCTGCTGCAACATCACGCTGGCCGCTGCTGCAGGCTCACCCCACATTCCAATTATAATTTCCATACCCCTCCCTCCCCAGAGCCTGAATGAGCAAAAGCCCCCTAATCAGCCGCAGCTTTAACCCCATCCTGTCTGGGCAGGAACAGTTGCCTGAGGGTGACCTACACACAGAGGCGGGGCCAAATCCAAAGCTGAACCCCAGGAGCTGTGTGAACAAAGAAGAGAAAGGGAAATCTCTCCCAGCAGCCTCAGGAGCAGCAGATTGAATCCCCACTATCAACTTGATGTACCCTGCATCTGTGGAATATCTGAATAGACAACGAATCATCCCAAAATCGAGGCAGTGGACTTTGGGAGCAACTGTGGACTTGGGGTTTGCTGTCTGCAAATGATTTGTTTCTGATTTTTATGTTTATCTTAGTACAGTTTTTAGCACTTGTTATCACTGGTGGATTTGTTTAGTGGTTTGGTTGCTCTCTTCTTTTCTTATTATCATTATTATTTTTTATCTTAATAATTTTCTTTTATTTTTTTTCTTTTTCCTCCCTTTTCTACTTCTCAGCCATGTGTCTGACAGGGTCTTGGTGCTCTGGCCTGGTGTCAGGCCTGAGCCTCAGGTGGGAGAGCCGAGTTCAGGACATTGGACTACCAGAGACCTTCTGGCCCCATGTAATATCAATCGGTGAGAGCTCTCCCAGAGATCTCCATCTCAATGCTAAGACCCAGCTCCACCCAACGGCCAGCAAGCTCCAGTGCTGGACGCCCCATGCCAAACAACTAGCAAGACAGGAACACAACCCCAACCATTAGCAGAGAGGCTACAGGAAACCATAAACAAGACGAAAAGACAACCCTCAGAATGGGAGAAAATATTTGCAAGCGAATCAACGGACAAAGGATCAATCTCCAAAATATATAAACAGCACATGCAGCTCAATATTAAAAAAACAAACAACCCAATCCAAAAATGGGCAGAAGACCTAAATAGACATTTCTCCAAAGAACATATACAGATTGCCAACAAACACATGAAAGGATGCTCAACATCACTAATCATTAGAGAAATGCAAATCAAAACTTCAATGAGGTATCACCTCACACCGGTCAGAATGGCCATCATCAAAAAATCTACAAACAATAAATGCTGGAGAGGGTGTGGAGAAAAGGAATTCCTCTTGCACTGTTGGTGGGAGTGTAAATTGATACAGCCACTATGGAGAACAGTATGGAGGTTCTTTAAAAAACTAAAAACAGAATTACCAAATGACCCAGCAATCCCACTACTGGGCATATACCCTGAGAAAACCATAATTCAAAAAGAGTCATGTACCACAATGTTAATTGCAGCCCTATTTACAATAGCCAGGACATGGAAGCAACCTAAGTGTCCATCGACAGATGAATGGTTAAAGAAGATGTGGCACATATACACAATGGAATATTACTCAGCCATAAAAAGAAACGAAATTGAGTTATTTGTAGTGAGGTGGATGGACCTAGAGTCTGTCATCATATAAAAAAACAAAAAAAAAAAAAAAAAGGTTCTGATGAACCTAGGGGCAGGACCGGAATAAAGACGCAGAGGTAGAGAATGGACTTGTGGACACGGGGAGGGGGAAGGGTAAGCTGGGACCAAGTGAGAAAGTGGCATTGACATATATACACCACCAAATGTAAAATAGCTAGCTAGTGGGAAGCAGCTGCATCGCACAGGGAGATCAGCTCAGTACTTTGTGACCACTTAGAGCGGTGGGATAGGGAGGGTGGAAGGGAGACGCAAGAGGGCGGGGATACGGGGATATATGTATACATATAGCTGATTCACTTTGTTAGACAGCAGTAACTAACACAACATTGTAAAGCAATTATACTCCAATAAAGATGTAAAAAAAACCCAAAAAAACCCTGCCCCCCAGCCCCGCTTTCTCGCTGAATCTGCCGGTCTCTAGCGCCCTCTGCCGAAGTGTCTCTACGTTTTGCGCTTCTCGAACTAGAAGGTGCAGGCCTGACTCCTGGGTGTCTTGCTAAAATGCATATGCTAATTCAATGGATGTGGGGCGGAGCCTGGGATTGGGCGTTTTAATCATTTTCCCACGGGAAGCTGATGCTGGACCACACCGACTGACAAGGATTCAAACTGCTAGGCAGCGAAGAGTTATTCTACAACAGCAACCACAGTACCACAGTCAGCCTTGGACACCGGTCCAGCAGTGCTCCTCGGAAAGCCTAAAGCTAACACGGAAAGCCGGCCACTCTCGGGAGAAGGCTGTCCTCGGCTCGGCCGGCGGCCCCACCCCTCGAGGCCCTCGCGGAGCCTCAATTGGTCACCACTCTCGCGTGAGCGTCTCGTCACGTGAGGCCGCCGTCCAATCGCGGAGCGCTCTCGGCCCAGCCGGTGGCTGGCGCGGCGGGTGCACGGAGAGGTGGTGGCGGTGCAATGGAGGTAAGGCCTCAGTTCGCCGGCGGAGGGGTGTGCACATCTGCCTACGCCGACGCCTCCGCCGGATTCCCCCCGCACCTCCAGGCGGGAGCGATGCGGCGCCGCTTCTGGGGCGCGTTCAACTGCCTGTGCGCCGGCGCGTTCGGGGCCTTGGCTGCCGCCTCCGCCAAGCTGGCCTTCGGCAGCGAGGTCGAACCGGGGGCGCTGCTGCGGCGGGCCGGCGGGTGGGGCCGGGGCAGGAGGGGCGCTACGGGGCAGCGGGGCTTCGGGATGGAGCGGGGCTGGGGGCGCAGGGGGGCCACCTCACCCCCGCTGGCCTGTTTGGTCCACTCCGCAGCCGGGCACTACTGACAGCGTGGGCAGGAAGGCATCCCTCGACTCCATATCACGCCCAACCCTCGTCCATTGTAGGTGGTAAGAGACTTAGGGGACTGAGGCTTGTTCCCTTACCTGGGACCTAAAATCTGCCCTCCGATTGGGCTAGTTCACTCTCGGGGAAGACGCACACCTCCTACATCCACTCTCTACCTCCCGTTGTGCCCGAACATTTCTCTCCACGTGACTCTAAAGTTGCCCATCTCTTTAACTCCGTAGTTAATGGCAGTTTTGACTGGTCTCCCCTGCTGGCGGAAACTTGGGAATTTGGAATATCCTAGGTATAAGGGAGACTGAGAGAAACATTCTGGACATAACCCCGATGTTGAGAACTCCTTAACTGCCTCCCCATGTCTGCTAAAGGTGTACCTTTGCCTCTCCCATCGCGAGTCATAGGCCACCTTCTGCTTGTTAAAGAGATTTCATTGCATCTGCAGCCCAGGGTTAGGCCCTGACCTGGACAGTAGACAGGTTGATTCTTTAGGTTTAAGCTAATCCAGTGGGAGCTGCCATGCTCGAGGTTGGTATCCTGTTGGGTGTAATTCTTGGAGTAAGTAGACCAAAGTAAGATGAGTGACTATGAGCCATGAGGTTTTCTAGTCTTCTCAGTTGTGCATCAGACCTTCATAAGCCTTTACATAAGCAGGCTGGCACTGGCACATAAAATGTGTCTGTGTAAATTATACAGAGACACTCCATCCTCAAGACTCTGTATATTCAGCTGCTGATGAGAAGTAAGAGGATGAGGTGTAGATGGGCACCATCCCCAGGGGAAGCAGCTCTGTCTGCAGGCAGGTTTATAACTCAAAACCAAACAAGGGGTCTGCATATCCTTTGTGTAGGAGGCTTCTAAAGATCCTCTCTTCTTTCAGTGCTCTCCTTTAAAAAAAAAAGAAAAATACCTGCAAGTTCTCCAGGCGATGCCTGGGGTCACCAGTCAAATAGTCCCCCGTGTGGTTTCCCTAGGCATGGCTGTGTCCTAGTTTAGATCATGGAGCCACACTTCCTGGGCCTGAATACTGGCGGCTCCCCCCAGCTGTGGCGTTTTAGGCAGGTTACTTAATGCTTCAGGTTCTTTATCTGTAAAATGAAGTTAAGGAATAAATGAAAACGTACTTAAAACACTTAGCACAGGGCCTGGTACAGAGTAAAAGCTCAAGAATGCCCAGTGGGACCGGCCTGAGTGAGTTTTAGCCTTCACAGAATGGGGGTGGGGGGTGGGGAGATGACTAATTCATGCTTTACCTGATCCCGGGAAGTGACGACTCCGCCCCTGATTTACCCTTCCCTCCGACTGAGCAATAACCACTTGGCCTGCTGAGACTGAACTTCATGCACTAGTCACTGTGAGGCCAATAAGGGACTGGTGTTCAGTAGAAGATAACTGGTATGGATTCGCATTTTACTTCTGCCCAAGGTCACATGGCTAGCAAGGTGGCCAAATAAGTGTCTTCTCTGAGGTTGTTTCAGCTGTTAAATGGGTGTGCTCCCTGCTTAGGGTTAAGTGAAGCCCTGTGCAGGAAAGCTCTGAGGACCCCCAGGCTGTGGTGGCCTGTCTGCCAGCAGTAACCATGACCCTGGGTGCTGTGAGGGGGTCTGCCGGTCATGCTGCCCAGGGCTGGCCGTGGCTGCAGTGACACTTTCTCCTGCAGGTGAATGTGGGCTTCTCCGTCTTAGGCATCATTGTGATGGCTACCACCAATTCTCTGATGTGGACGTTCTTTAGCCGGGGCCTCAGTTTCTCCGTGTCTTCAGCCATTGCATCTGTCACAGAGACTTTTTCAAATATCCTCAGCTCGGTGAGTAGCCTGAGCGTACAGTTTCTCTGTCTCAAACCTGGGCTCTGGGAGGGTTCTGGGTGGGTTGTTCTTGGGCAACCCCTGCTTTCTACATAGGAGAAGGGCCAGGAACTCAAGCAGAGGTTGGGCTGTGTCTTGACTCCCGGTGGCTGCCCCTCTAATCTCTAACTTGGAGGAATTCTCAAGTTAGATAGGGATGGAGTCCAACTGTCAAAAGCCTACTTGATGCTCCTCAGGGGTCTGTGAACTCAGGCAGGAGATGTGGAGGGTCGAGGTTCTTCTCTCCCAGGTGGGGCTGAGCCAGTCAGCCCTGCAGTCCAGGCAGGGAGGACTTGGTGGACCAGTTGTGTGCTGGGCCTGGCTGCCGGCCTCTGCTGGGCTTTCTTGTGCACTTTGCTGGGTCCGATGCTGTGAGGAGGTACCCTCCCCACTTCTCCAGGTGAGATATGGTGAAGGTAACAGATGGTTTCAGGCCCAAGACTTCCAGCTCCAGACCTTTCCTCCCGCCCTAGGAGGGCACTCAGCCACAGGGGAGTCAGGTGGTGCCCACCCACCATGGTCGCATCCGGTGGGCATGTGCCTGCCCAGCCTCACAGCTGTCTCTGTCCTGCAGGCCTTCCTGGGTTTTGTGTTGTATGGAGAGTGCCAGGAGGTCTTGTGGTGGGGAGGAGTCTTCCTCATCCTCTGCGGACTCACCCTGATCCACAGGGAGCTCCCACCACCCAGGAAGGCTCTTCCACACAAGCAGCAGTAGCACCAGCGGGCTGGGCGGACCCGCTGGAAGGACAGTGATGGCGGCTCAGGCTCGGGTTGGCGTGTGGGGACTGCTTCTCAGGGCGATCTGGGTGTGCAGCCTTCTGACCCTCGGCCAAAGAGAGATGCTTCCCAGGGAACCAGGCTTGTGACCGAGCAGCCTTGCGGGTGGACAGCTCCGGCTTCTGTCAGGGGAAGTACACCGCAGCAGTGTTCTGCCCGAAGCCTTCTCGGTCCATCTGCTCGGTGCTGTTGATTCTCACGCTCCACAACCCACCCAGTGAGCCATGGCAGGTGTGGGAGACCCTGGGGTTGGTGGGCTGCCTGTATGGACTTGAAACCATGCTGTAACTGCAGTCCTGTTGCCTAACAAAGGCCAGTCATGGAATTTTGGAATCAGTGACTGGTGGGGCTTTCGACAACTTCACACTGATATGTCAGGCCGTCAGCGTCATGCTTCTGGATTATGGCAAGAGAAGGAAAATTAGATTAATAAATACTTTTTTTGTAAGTTAAAACTGCCAGGTGTGGAATCTTAATTCTTTCCTACTTTTTTTCCTTTCCTAAGTTTTTGGAGTAAGAGCAGCCAGGGTGAGCTGCAATTCCCAGAGGGGGAGTTGAAACTCCTCCCCCCGCTTCCAGACCTGGGGCTTGACTGCTCTCTGCCTGCCTGCGTGGTTCCTTCCTGACTTCACCCAGGCTGGTGCTCTTCAAATTCAGGAGCATCTGTCCATTCTCTTGGTCCCAAGGAGAAAAGCTTGACCTCACTTTGGGGGTCTAGTTTTATTTTACTTATTAGGAAAGGAAACTGGCCCAGAGGTTGCTCCCACCCCCTCATGTTACCTCTGCTGCCTTTTGGTCCCGTGACTTTTTTGTATCTTACGCCACGTGAATCTAATTCTTAGTTCAAAACAGTCTGTTTGCTGCCTGCACCCTCTCCCCGTGCATAGCTTCAAGTGCGATGCTCACCTGCTCCAGTTCCCCGGGGCTCCCCTGGCTGTCTGAGAGCCCTCCCAGCTCTCCTGAGCCTGAGTGCCGGCCCCAGGAGGTCTCCTTTCACATCCCCTGCAGGAGAGAGGGCCTTCTTAGCCGCGAGGCTGGGGGACAGAAGGGTCGTGTCCAGCTGGCCCCTCCCCCCGCCACGCACAGAGCCCCTTCACGGCTCTCCATTACTCTTGGCAGTGGCCAGATGCTCTCCAGAGCTGTTCTGTGGCTCCCAGTGACTTCGCTGTGGCCCAGCCCCCTCTCCAGCTGCTCCCTTGCTGCCTCCTTCCCTCCCCCACTCACCATGCCTGAGTCACCCACATGTCTGCATCTCAGCAGTTCTCGAGGCCACCACAGCCAGTCGTGCCTCCATGCTTTTGTGCCTGCTTTTCCCTTTGCCTTGGATTCCCTCCACCTTCCCCTGTCGCTGGAAAACTCCTCCTTCTTATCCAACAGGGCACAATTTGCTGTGCTTTCTGAGCTCCCACAAGGGCCAAGGCCAAGCTGTGATTCACAGAATGGTAATTGACTAGCCCCACTTTGACACATTGAAGCCTCCCAGCCTCACTGGGAAGGGAGGTACTCTTGTTACTCTCATTTTAGAGGTGAGGAAACTAAGGCTCAGAGAGGTTGGGTCACTTGCCCAAGGTCACACAGCTAATGAATGCCCAAATCACTGTGTGACTCCAGGGTTCAGCTCTTAATCCATATAAGCATCCTGCCTCCCCCTTCAGCATGTTAAAGCCCCGGAGAGGTCCTGTGGACAAGGATCCTGTTTTCCAGTGTCTAATAGCACTCCCCAAGTCTCACCTCCTACCCCTCTGAAGGTGATGCTACCTAGAACACTCTTTGCAACTCCATGATCAAATCTGACCCCATTATTCTACCTGTGAGGAAGATGAAGACCATTCAAGGCTCTGCAGGGTATGTTCACATACGTGAGTCAGGCACCCTGCCAAGGCCAGACGTGAAGGCTGCTGAGAGCTGGTGGCTGGGCCTCCCTGAGCAGTTCACGAATAGGGCAAGAAGTCCATCTTAGAGCAGACGTTGTCCTGAGGGGACCCAGCCTCCCATCCAGACGTCTGCTGGATACATAAAGATGCTTGGTGCTGACCCAGACCCTCTCTCTCTCAACAGATGTGCCTGCAGGAGACCACGGGACACAATGAGATGTTTGTCTAAGAGGAAGGTTTGTCATTTTTCAAAAAGCAGACAGACACGTGTCTCCACCTAAGAAGATGAGGAAGTGTTCACTGTGTCTCTTTACTCATTTCAGAGGTATCATATCTTTATTTTTTTGTTTGTTTGCTGTACGCGGGCCTCTCACTGTTGTGGCCTCTCCCGTTGCAGAGCACAGGCTCCGGACGCGCAAGCTCAGCGGCCATGGCTCACGGGCCTAGCCACTCCGCGGCATGTGGGATCTTCCCGGACTGGGGCACGAACCCATGTCCCCTGCATCAGCAGGCGGACTCTCAACCACTGCGCCACCAGGGAAGTCCCAGAGGTATTGTATCTTGATAAGAGAATGAACTGTGTGTCTGTATTTGTCTTTCTGGTGTGCACCCTGGATGATGGGTTGGAGTTTGTTTGCTCTGGAGCTGGCAGTTTGACGTCCAGGTTCAACAGCCAATGGCCTGAAAGGTCAGTGTTACTAATTTTTTTTCTGGTTTTAAAATTTTACTTATTTCTTTTTTAATGTGTATAATTCAGTATTTTGTTACTATATTCACAAAGTTTTCAACCATCGCCACTATCTAATTCCAGAACATCTTACCACCACAAAAAGAAACTCCCACACGCGTTAGCAGTCACTGCCCATGCCACAGTACCCCCAGCCCCCTGGCAATCAAATCTGCTTTCTGTCTCTATGGATTTGCCTATTCTGGACATTTCATAGGCATAGAATCATACAGTATATGGCCTTTTGTGTCTGGCTTCTTTCATTTAGCATAATATTTTAAAGGTGCATCCATGTTGTAACATGTATCAGTACTTTATTTCTTTTTATGACTGAATACTATTCCATTGTGTGCACGTACCACATTTTGTTTATCCATTCACCTTGTGATGGACATATGGGTTGTGTCCACTTTGTGGCTATTATGAGTAATGCTGATAAGAATATTTGTGTACAAGTTTTTGTGTGGACTCGTCAGATTAGAAATGAGCTTATAGCTTCTGATACAAGAAGACAAGATTTTGCTCCTGCAGATCTGTGGATGTGGATTTACTAACTCCTTGTCTCCACAAGAAAGGGAGGAAAATGTATCAGGATGCAATGTCTTTATGATTTAGACAGGGCCTCGCCTCCCTTCTTCCTCAGAACCGGGAGATGCTCACAGCTTGATCGGGGGCAGGTTTGAATCCCCAAAGCAACGCTGATGAGGCTTTCCTTCCAAAACAGACTACCAGCTTCCTTTGGAAGAAGAGGACATAGTTTTCCCCCACCTCTGGGAGGCACGCCCGTGCCATAAGCACACAGAGACTTAGGCCCTACTGTGTGCCAGGCGCTGGCGGCACTGAGAGATTCGTGGTGCAGAGCCTTTCCTCACACATTATCCCAGTTAAACAACAGCTCTCTGAACTGCTCACCCATTCATTGACACATGCATTCATTCATCTGTTGAGCGCTGACTGTGTGCCAGGCCATGGACTAGGGACACAGAAACGAGAAGATTCCATTCCTGGCTATAAAATCAGTCCCCTGTGAGTTTCATTTTGAAATGTATACCTGTCTCTCACCCCTCCTGTTGTTTTCAGGCCCTTCTTCCCCGCCTTTCTCTCTTCTCCCTTTTCTTCATCCCATCATCTCTGGGTTAATGTGAAATTCGGTCCATGCCTATCTTTCTAGGAGAGTTTGTATTTTGAACTTCCTGTCTCATGGTAGGGCCTGAAGCCTGTCCCCTCTGTGAGTAGAGCAGAGGGTCTTAAATGGGATGTCCCTGACCCCAATATCCCAGGAGTTGGCTGGGATCCATCACTTGGGAAGGCCAGACCCTGGCGTGGTTTGGGGGCTGCAATACTGGGGCCTCAGAGTCCCAGTGGCCTGTGACCAGACCCTGGTGTCACCTGTGCCAGGCAGGGAACGTGAAAATAGACGACTCTTTAGGACCAGCTGATGGATAAAATGCCATCACACAAGGAACTGAGTTAGAGCCACATCTCCTGAGGCCCAGAAGTTCTGGGCAGGAAGAGAGAAGGAAGGCGTGCTGGGTTCCTCAGCTGACACCCAATATATCCCACCCTCTCTGCACTGCCACTTTCCATCTGTAAACTGAGGATGTCAGAATGGACACTCTCTCTAAGGTTCCCCGTAGAGCTTATTTTCTGTAGAGTATTTGGAATTGCCCTCACCTGATTACAGCACCCTTTACTGAGCCTAGAACCATAGAACCTGCTTTAGACACATGACCTCCTACTCCCCCAACAGACCTCTGACATGGGTGTTCTTATCTCTATCTTCCAGATGAGGCGATGGAGGCACAGAGACGTTGAGTAACTTGCCCAAAGTCACACAGCAGGTATGTTGAGGGAACCAGGACTCAGGCCCAGTTCTGTCTGACCCCAAAGTCTGTTCCCCTTGGATGCTTTTACACTCAGTCTGGCTTGGATGTCACCAGAGAAAGTTCATCTTGTTCAAGCCCCTCACTGGTCAAAGGAGATGAAGAAGGCCCAGAGAAGTGAAGCAGCTAAAACCCAGACCTCCTCCCTCCCAGGCCAGGATGCTTTCCAGAAGGCTTCTCTTTGTTTCTGTTCTAAATAGTGAATTTAACTTTTGAATAGGTAATTCATGCACATGGTGCTAAATTCTGATGATGGAAAAGGACATACAGAGAAAAGTAAGCATCCCCCTCCCATCCCTGAGCCCCCAGAGCAGGACCAGGGCCTCCCTGCAGACAGCCCGGCCCCAGGTTTTTGTAAGTGCTGTGTGCACTTAGGGCTTGGTTTCTTTTATTCGGAGGACGGCAGAAAGCTGCTGACCCGGTTCTCATTATCCCAAGTGACCGGGGTACCTCT